TCCATTCTCCTCTTGGGATCTTGGGCACGTACGCACACACACCCGGCGTGAGTTTTAAGCCACCGGGTCCGGGACGTGAACCATGGTCGACTACGTGGGAGTCCAGCGACATAGCCATTACGCTAACTGCTGGTTCCCAAGACTCACTTTTGTAGGATTAAAATCTAATAACATGAGAAGCTGACATTTCTTAAGTACTCTTTGCTTTCAGGTGAGATATTCCTCTTTACTTCCTTCATCTATATGCATGCCTCCATGCATATCTGCAGTATGCTCACTCAAGTAAACTGCCTCTTCATCATACCAGGCATCGTGCTCCTGACTTATATTCACAGGGAAAATTCTCAGGGATGAATTTGGGCATGATATCACAAAAGTTAAGCAAGGTGAACAAGAGTAGGCAATGAGGAACTCTTCCTATGTGTGGCTTCTCAAAGGAAACAACTGAGGGGTAGAACAAGTGGGACTTTCTTTCTTAAAGCCATGGTGGCTGGGGCTGGCAGACAGTATAGAGGTTGGGTTGCTGGACTCCCACATGGAGGACCATGGTTCAAGTCCCGAACTTGGCAGCTTGCTTTCTCACTTTCCCTTTCTCTCTGTGTGTTTCTCTGTCTGGTCAAATAAAAACTAATAATAATAACAACAACAAAATTAAGTGAATAATTCCTTAAAAAAAAAAAAAAGCCATGGTAGCATTTGGGAGATTGAGACCTTGATCCCTCAGTAGGCCTAGGTATCTAGGTATAAGGGCTGATGACTAACGACCATTAAAAATTACCTCAAGGGACCAGCAGCTAGCGTAATGGCTATGTCACTAGACTCCCATTGTAGTTAACCGCGGTTCGAGTCCCAGGCCTGGTGGCTTAAACTCATGCCGAGTGCATCTGTGTGTGTGCCCAAGATCCTGAGAGGAGAATGGAGAAGGGATGGAGGCGTGGCCATGTCCTCTGGGGGAGTGATTTCTCGCTTTCTTTCTCTCTGTCTTTCTGGCGAGCACACATGCCCGATAGTACAAATCTCTTAAAAAAAAAAAAAAAGAATTATCTCAAGAGTTTAACTGACAAGCTATCTACCGAAGTGGAGGATATTACTAGAACATTATTTACTATCCTACATGCTATCATTGCATGAAACTAATTAAATATTAATTAAACACTTACAGATCTCTTAGTAACCAGTAAATAGCATGTATTTTGCATTTTGATATTACAAGATTAATTCAAAAACATACATCCATTATATTAACATATGACATTGTAATGGGTTAATCACAAAAATGTAGATTATCGATGGATAAGGATTTTAGTCTAAATTTTATTCCTAAGTGACTTATAGATTTAAGAATAAAGAATAAAATTAATTTATTTCATCTCCAATCAAGTTCTGACATTCCTGGGCAGTATTTTTTAGGATTAGTTTTTAAGTAAAAGAGGAATTCGATCATGTTTTGAACTACTTCGCTTTACAGTTGAGGATAAGGTCACAATGTCACTAAATGATGTATGGCTCCCTAAATCCACTGAGTGTGGTCCTCTGCTGGTGCCCTCCCACTGATTTTCTTTATAAAACATTTTCCCTTACTTTTCCACATAACTTGTCATGTTTACTCGGGCTCACAATTTTCATTACACAATTTAATACCAATCAAATGACTCTAATCAACAACTGAGTAATTTTATCTTCTGTTACCACCTCCAAAATCAATCCACCCAGGAAGTCCTCTCAGACTTCAAGGACACTAAAAATTGCAATCTGTACTGTCAACTCAAATCATTCAAGAAAAATCTTTCTTTTGCTTTTACTTAAACACTGACTATATATACAGCTGTCATATTTTCTTAATTAAAACCTGGGACACATGATCTAAGCCAAATAATTTTTTTCCAATTCAGAAGACTTTTTAAATAATCAACTTGAAAATAATAAGTAACAACAAGTTATATAATGAACTTATTTTCCTGACAAGATTAACATAATATGCAATCAGGTCTGCCCTAAAAATACACATATTCTAAAAAAATTTCCAAAACTAAATCTAGAAATTCTCTGGATAATTACTAGCTATGTTGAGAAAGGAAGACAGCAATCGTGCCATAGCATTTAACAACAGGTCTAGCTAAGTATTTTGTTGACATTTCATGTTTTTCAAGTTAATTTATTTGTCAATAGAGAGGCTATACTCTTTTTTGTGAGAACAAGAAATTTGAAAAGATGACATATCTTCACCCTCAAGATACCTAGCTTGAATAAGATCACAAAGCTGCTTTTTACTGACACTGGGTACACATACCAGAGAATGTCTGGGAAGTAGACTGACTATGGTATAGGGTAAGCTAAGAGAGAGAAACTAAGAACATCTCAACAGAAATATTCCTTTGGAGTTTTCCCATCCAATTAAATCAATAATTAATGGGCAAATGATTTGCTTGGCCTAATGGTTAAGGGAGCTAGAACCCACATGGCCAATTGCAGTTTGAATCCTAGCCCTCAGGGATCGAACTACATACCAGACATGTGTGTGAGTATGCCCCAAGTCCCAGCAAGATGGAGACGTGAAGGAAAAGGGAATGTGACATGACCATACTCCAACTCCATTAAGGAATGCTGTCTCCCTCTTCCTCTTTCTCTGTCTTTGTTAAGTGTACATGCCCTCTGGCTAAATAAACAAATTTTTAAAAAATTATTTGTTTTATTCAGGCTAAAACACAGGAGACATTTTAGGAGCAAAATATTGTAGACCCATTCCTAAAGATAATAAAACCCCAATACAACGTTAGTGCTCCAATACACTGTAAGAGTAATAGAGAAACAAACAAAAACACTAAAGTGGAAAATAAAAGAATTCAAATACCATCACATAACACAGAATGATGTTTCTATAAGCAGTGGCTCACATATATGATGATGGCCCCATGAGATTACAAAGCTGAAAAATTCTGATCTCTAGCGACTTTGTAGCCTTTATAATGCTGTAGCACAACACATCGTTCACTTGTTTGTGCCGATGCTGGTATAAAAAAATCTACTGTGCTGCCAGGCACATAAAAGTTTGGAACATACAATTACATAAAGGGAATAACACTTGATGATGACAATAAACTGCTATGTTGATGGTTTATATATTTATTTCAGACTGTCCTCCTGCTTCTTATTTTTGAAAAAGTTTACCGGAAGAGTATACCACTCTATGCAGCAGATGTACACAGCAACCACATACCTCTCATGTACCATATCTCTTGGCTGCAACTTTTCTTTTGCATCTGATTTAATCTCATTGTTTTGCTCCTCATGGCCCTTCTAATAAGAGAAGATGTGGAGGTGGAAGAAAGTGACACTGATAAGCCTGACTCTGTGTCACCCTATTAATGTGTGTGTTTTTGGAAAGGTTTTTCCTATAGGGCACGTACACCCGCAAGAAAGACAGAGAGACAGAAAGTTGAGTAATCACCCCCGCCCCCCGTTCCCCGGGGAGATGGCCATGCCTCAATCCCTTCTCCATTCTCCTCTCGGGATCTTGAGCACGCACACACACATGCCCAGCGTGAGTTTAAGCCACGGGGTCCAGGACTCAAACCATGGTCGACTACATGGGAGTCCAACAACATAGCCATTACTCCAATTGCTGGTCCCTAATGCGTGTTTTATACCTAATTTTTACCCAAAAAAACTTAAGGAAAAAAATTTAGAAACAGAAAAATGTTTACAGAATAAAGATATACAAAAAATATTTTTGTACAGCTGTGCAGTGTGTTTGTATCTCAAGCTAAGTTTATTACAAAATCGTCAAAAAGAACAAAGAAAATTTCAGTTTATGAACTAAAAGTTACAATAAGCTAAGGTTCATCTATTATTAAAGAATTTTTAAAAATAAATTTAGTGCAGCCTGGTGTACAGCCTCTATAAAATCTATTGTAGTGCACAGTAATGAAGGCCTAGGACTTCATAGTCACTCACCACTAACTCACTGACTCGGCACAACTCTAGTTCTGCATTTTTGGTTAGTACCTAAATGTAGAGACAGACCATGTTTTATCTTTTAGACCGTATTTTTTTCCTGTGGCTTTTCTATATTTTAGTTTGTTTAGGTACACGAATAGTCACCATTGTGTTACAATTGTTTATAGTATTCAGAACAGTAACTGCTATACAGGTTTATAAAGCAGGAACAACAGGCTACACCCTATAGGTACGCAACAGGTTATATGATTTAAGTGTGTAACTACACTCTATGATATTTGTACAATGATGAAGTCACCAAACAATGCATTTCTTAGAATATTCTATATCATTACACAATAAATGATTATATTCTGAAGGTCTAAACGTTCTCAATACCTAGGAGTTAATCCAGGTATAGAATACAAGATGAAAGTACTTTATCAATACTATTACATGAATTATATAAACTTATTCCAAATTTTGTTTGTTTAAGTTTCTTCACATAGGGCATGTGGGCTGGCTAGAAAGAAAGAGAGAGGTTAAGTGGGAAATCATTCCCCAGAGGGGATGGCCACAGCTCAATCCCTCCTCTTCCATTCTTCTCTCAATATTTTGGCCACACACGCCAGACATGATTTTTAAACTGCTGGGCCTGAGACTTGAACCATGGTCGTTCATGTGAATCCAGCACCTTCACTACCATGCCACCCACCTGCTGGCCCCCTAAAATGTTTTAAAAATGCAGTATTCAAGGAGAAGCTCTTCACTCTACCAAAGATAGGAAGTTTTTCTAAAGAATCTGTATAAACAATAAATCTTTAATCTCAAATTTTTAGTAAAAATTCTAATATAGTATTGATTTTTCTTACCTATACTTACAATAACTTTTCTTATTAATCTGTGCGAAAAAAATCTAATTCTCTAAATATTTCAAATGATTGAACAAGTTAATAATTATGAATTATGTAGTATTTAATGTAAAATGACTAAAACTTTAATACACACGCTTTACTAGTTTTTATTATATTTAGATTATGTTACGTGTACTCATGACCACATACCTGATATAGAAGATCTTTTTGAGGCAAAGGGGGAGATCGTTCTTCATACATAGGAGGTGGTTTATGTGTGGGTGGGAGATCGATCCTGCATTAAAAAGGTTAAAAAACGTGATTGCCACATTTAGCAAACAAAAGAAGGGAAGGGAAAATCTACTCTTCTAAGGTTTGAAGATATTTTCCTCATAATACATAATATTCACAGTAGGCTACATGTTTAATTCAATTTATCTACTTCATTATAATCAAAGATAGAAACTAAAAGTAAACATTAATTCTTTCTTTTTACTTTAAGAGATTTTTTGCTTTAGGGTACGTGCACCCGCCAGAGATAGAGAGTGATAGTAAGTGAGAAATCACCCCCCAGGGGGATGGCCACGCTGCAATCCCTTCTCCTCCATTCTCCTCTTGGGTTCTTGGGAACACATGCACATGCACCCAGCATGAGTTTTATGCTGCTGGGTCTGGGACTCGAATCACTGTTAACTACATGGGAGTCCAGCGATGTAACCATTACACCATCTGCTGGTCCCAGTAAACATTAATTCTAAAGGTTCCAATATTTAGAACCAATCTATTGGGTTGTCATGATGTACTTTTCTGTTTTTCTATGACATTTCTAATGACCCAATAATTGATTCATATTTTGTTAAAGAATTCAAATAAAACATTTACGTAATCTAGTACATGACCAGTTTTAAGTACTGCATGCTTTACATTTGACTATGCCTACCTAACATGTTAAAGTTAGTCATGTATGTGCAATTATGCTTTCTTACCAAATGTCATAAAAATGATGTAAAAGACTATCTTAAAATACGATTTTACTGTATTTTGGAAACTGATTTTCAAAAGCCCTGACCATTCTTAGAAAACTTATCATACAAATTAAGATTTTCAATTCATTCAAAATCTTGCCACGTGAAATAGGGATAACTACACCCTTAGGGAATGCATCTATTTTTGCCAAAAGACCTAATCTACTAAAAAACAAAACAAAACAAAAACAAACACACACACACAAAAAGGGACCAGCAGTTAGCTTAATGGCTATGTCATTGGACTCCCATGCAGTCGACCATGGCTCAAGTCCCGGACCCGGTGGCTTAAAACTCATGCCGGGCGCCTGTACGTACGTGCTCAAGATCCTGAGAGGAGAATGGAGGAGAAGGGACTGCGGCATGGCCATTCCCCCTGGGGGGTGATTTCTTGCTTTCTGTCTCTCTGTCTCTCTCTTTCTGGCAAGTGCAAACCTCTCAAAAAAAGAAAAAAAAAAAACACAATATTTTCATATATTTTAAGCACTGTTTAGTACAAAAATAGAATTAAATATATCTTGTAACTGTATTTTAGGAAATAATTTTATGTAAATATTCTCAACTTTTGAAGGTCACAGATAACATTCCCAATAAAGCTATCTAGATTAAAGAATGAAGAGAATGAAATCTATAGATGCTGAAATAATATATTCTCCATGATATAGTAACTTCTCAATACGAAAATAAATATTTTAAAAGAACAGAATTCAAACAAGAAGTAAACCAGTAACACTGATTTATAAGCCTACCAGTAAATTTTGTTCCTGAACTTACAGAAAAGCTTGAGATACTTTGGCAACTAAAACGAAGTAAATCACATGCTGGTTACTCCTGAAATATTAAAGCACTCCAGTCCCACAGGTATTACACTAAAAGAATCAAATTCAGGTGCCAGCAGGTGGTGTGATGGTTAAGGTGCTGGACTCCCACTCAGCTGATAGTTTGAGTCCAGGATATGGTGGCTTGAAAATCACACTGGGCATGTGTGCACGCAAGTCCCAAATCCCAGGAGAATGGAGAAAAACGAACTGCATTTGACCATTAACCCCAATGAGGGGTGATTTCTTCACTTTCCTTTTCACCCTCTCTGTCTGTCTGTCTCTCTCAAGCAAGCACATGTCCCCTCATGGCAAAAATCTTAAAAAAAAAAAAAAAAAATTCAAATAACTATTTATTTGAAATAATTCTTTCTTCTCATCTAATTAAAATCACAGCAAATATACACAGACCACTTAGATGAGAAAACTAAAATCTCATGGAAGTGACTTTTCCATGATTATAGCAGTAATTTGATCATGATAAAGTTGACCCCAGGTATCCTTACTCTACCCCCCCCCCAAAAAAAAAGAAAAAGCCTCAGTGCTATAAATACGCTAGATTACAGAAGCAAAAACAAGATTCTCATAAAGACAGAAAAAAAATACATTCTTTGAAAGACAGCCTTATGTCCAAATATAAAAAAAAAAATACCCAGAATACTGCAGGAGAAATAGAACCTCACAGTTCACAGAACAGTATCTGATTTTACTCCCATCATAAGCTTTAACTAGGTAAGTAGGAAAGGGATTCACATTTCATTGATAAAAGAACAAAGCTGTTGACGAAAATAAGAGAACTAGGACACTGGTCATTTGACTCTACGGCAAGGTATAATCACTGCCTTATTAATCCTATCTCAATGAGTAGGCTGAAAATATTGCATATTCTTTAAATTTAAAAATGCACATTTTATCTTTTACTAAAACTAAAACTTTCTTCTTCTTTAAGGACAAAGTCTTAAAAGTCAATGTATTTAATAATTCTTAGCTGTTCAAAGTTTCTATCTATGCATATATCTGAAATAACTATTAAAACTTCAGAGATTATATTTATCTTTCAACTACGCCTTCATTAAAGGCCTACATAATATTATTATAACAAATCATATCATGTTGCCATGTGGATAGATGCCTGACACACTACGTGGAAAGGGTATCCGATAGTCTCCAGCAGCCCCTTTCACTGTTCAATGACAGACATACTTGGAGATCCTCTGATGAAGCCAGGGTCGTCTAACAAGGTCTAACACTGGACTTATTTTCACTGCTTAGACACTGTACATGTAAGTACCTGTAAAGGTAGCGTAAGGCTGATGTATAACAAATATTCATAGATGCACATGGGCAAAAAAGTTACCTACACTTTGTCGAGATAGGACGGTCTCTTTTTTCGAGGAGTGAGCAGTACAGTCACAAAGACAGCAATGATGAAAAGGGCAAGGACAGCTCCGATTACAGCTCCAGCTACAGCTATGGAAGAGGTCTGTTTAAATGGAACATCTGTAAAGCAACAACAACAACAAAAATTAGGCTTTTCCAAAGAGGTCTTCAAATGGGGTATCTTAATTTCTACTTCTTATCCAGTCAATTTCAAGGACTACTTGACTGAAGTATATAATCCAACAGCCAGCTCAGAGTACTCCAAGTTTGATTTATTAGTTTTTAGTAATATTATGCTAACACCATTTATCCTTACAAGATGTTACCTTAGCACCTTACCCTCGCTTTTTTCAAACTACGAAAAGAATATCTCTAGTCAGACAAGTAAATCTAATCTATTTGGGCAAAAATATCTGAAGGAGAAAAGAGAAAAAGATAAAAATAATTTTTAGTTCTTACTCTAAAGGTAACAACACAAAAAAATTCAGTATTTTCTAATAAAGTTGACCAAGAATACAGACATTTACCTTTTTTAGTAAATTTATTTTTATTGCAAGAAGGTGCAAGTGCTCACTAATCAGAAAGAAAAAGAGGGAGGGAGAGAAAGCACCCACTAATGGATTGATCTTAACTTTCTCCATCCCATAGATTTGGGGCAGACAAGCATATGGGCCCACAGTGTTTTTTCCCCAAGATATAGGGCCAAGACTTGAACCTAGGTCAGCTATGTGGAACCCAACTCCCTCTGTACAGCACTTAACCACTGTACTATGGGGCCAGTCTCATTTACTATTTTTTTCCTATAAAAATAACCATTAACATAAACAAAAAACCTTCAAGGAGAAAACAAAAAATACTCCAGGTCAAATATAGCAAAAAAGTGATACTAAGCACTGTATAATTAAAAAATATTTTTTAATGACTCATTGCATAAAGTTGTATTTAATTCATACACATTTACTATAAAGCACACTTCAAATGGCTTCTCTACTTCAAAATTAAATGGAAATTCTTTCTATTTCCTGGCTACAGGGATATATCATTTCTGCACACCAATTTTTCTTTCCCAAGCTGCATCACAAATTTTTAAGAAAGGATTAAAAGCACACTTGGCAATTAGCATTTCACACAATTCTAAAAACTAAGAGTCATTCTACTTCATGAACTCTCAAATAAAGTGATCTATTAAAATTATTAGCATTTTAGCAATATATTTTCAAATATAAAACATTAAGGGATATGACAAAACCATCAATTTTTACATGTAAGTATTCTGACAATTTTAGCTATATTAAATTCAGTAACTAAGTGTTCTAGGGTGAGTCATAAGTTACTGAGTTCCTTCATATACACAATTTTTATCTAACCAATAAGAAAGTTATTACATTTCATAAGTGAAAATATTCCAGTTCTCAAACTGAATAATCTGCCCAAGGCTATTCAATCAATGAATAGTAAACACAGAGTGAAATAAATTTAGGTTGGGGTAAGGTGGAAGCCTCAATATTTACAACTTAAAGTCTCAACATTTACAACTTACTAAGAGAGAATATTTCTTTTCAATACCTAATATAGACTCACCTTTTGGGTCCCCTATTCGGTAATGAAGAGCTCTTAAGTTTCACTCTGATATATTTGCATATGCTCTTGAAAACTGTTATCATTGTTGTGATCCAGACATGGTCAATTTATAGAAAGCACTGTCAGTTTTGAAATATGCTTTACCTACATACCCGCAATCGCCGTATTTCATATTAAGTACTTCCAACTTTTCTTTTTAAAGTGGGTCAAATGGTGTCTTCATTGTTAAAAATGCTTTACTTTCTTACCAATTACAAAAACGTCTTCAAAAAACTAACAATCCTGGACTTGATAATGGCTTATTTTTTTAGACTAAAAATCTTAAATGAGTGCAACTCACCCATTTCAATAATCTTTCAAACAATTTAAGGTGTTACCTTCATTTGCTGATAGACTTATCTATTGTTGCTCCTTTCTCCAATCCCTAGTATCTACATTTAAACCTGTGCTGGATGTGAAAAAGGTTTAAAACCCAGTATAAATATTACACTGTATTTGTAAATGTAAAAACTCAGATTGGGTATGACTCATAATCTATTCTACATTATCATTTTCCCCACCATATAAATTATACCTTTGAGCACTAGACATAGCTATAAAGTAGATGACTCTATTCAGTCTAATTCAGTCTAATAAGTCAACAGAAACCTACTAAGGTTATATGATTCGACCAAGGTAATACAACTAGTAAGTAGCACAAATAAAAAGATCCAATTATAGCATATCTATGTATTGCACACCAGTTTTTCTTCAGATCTCTTTAATGGAAGTTTTCTTTTACTAAAGAGTAAAGCAGTCCTATCATGTATGGGTAGATTCGAATTATTGTTTTTATTTTGATAATGACAAGTTAATAATATATCCACAGTAATATTTCTAATATTTTCAAAAGCGCAAGTAACTCTGAAAATAATTACTCCAAATTAAGATACTCAACTTACAGGTTATTATAAATTTTTCATCAAACCTCTCATTTCCTTTAAGATAATCTGAAAACTGGTAGTGCTTTGTAATGAAACAAAACTACAGACACTCTTATTATCCAATTCTAGATAAGTACTGTTTGTAATAACCTACAGTAATTCTCAAATCTAGACACTATTGGGTCATTGGAAAAGTCATGACACATTTTTGCATAGAAAAAAAAAAGAAAAATATATCATGACTTTTCCAACAACCCAAGATTTGATCTTTTATTGTTTTTAATTTGCCAAAGGATGTGTGCATTCATCAGAAACAGAGAGAGTGAGTTAGGGAGAGGGAGAATAAACATGCCAACAGGGAGAGGTCACATGGTAACCCCTTCTCCTCTATCCAACCTCTTAAGATTCTGGGCATAAAGGCAGGCTCACATACCTACTTTTCAAACCATCAGGGCCAGGATTCTAACAGCAATGTCAGCCATGAGAGATTCAGAGCCCTTAACCACCATGCCACTTTAGTTATGATCTAGTTTCCAATTCTGGAACATTGTATGTATATCACAGCACTCCCTAATTTAATTTAGACATCTTTATTTTACCTAGCTTCAGCCATTCTACAGTCACAATAATTTTTTTTTGCATATCTTTTCTTAGTATCAGAGCAGTCTCATAAGTACTGAAATGGGCAACTGGAAGAAAAAAATTAGGTATGATTACATTTACCAACTGAATAATCTATTCCACATAGGTAAACTCCTATCATGTTAAATAAATACATGGAGTAGGTCTCATATTTCCTTTTCTGAATCTTCTACTAATTGAGAAAAAAGTAATAAATTTAAGGTTATTAATATCTTAAGGATATTAACAATTGATTAATACCAGTATGAAATACAAAAGAAGGACTGAAGTCTTCTGTATTCAAGTCATAGTATTTCTATGAAAATTGAGAACTGAGCCCCAATCCTCCTTGCCTATAGCCCTGCCTGCACAAACACACATGTACTATATATACTCTATATTCCAACAAAACCACAAGGGGAAAAAATTTCAGGGAACACATATGTAAACATACTATGCCAGTTTACTAAGTGAGTGACACAAAGCAAATTACCATGATATTCTTACAAGTGACATAAAGCAAAAAGAAAAAAGTAATACCATATTTACCATTAAGATTGATGCATGTGTCTCCAAAAGCAATAGCTTGGTATCAAGGCAGATATAGTAACAAACATTCTTGGAAACTTACCTCCAAAAAGAAAAATTAGCATTCAGCAAAACTATGCCATGAATCATAATTAAAGATACCATACATATGTCTTTTAGGAAGTGTTCAAAAGTCAGTTACAAACAGTATCAAAAAAAGTTAGATACAAGAAATAACTTTCATTCCTTTTTGGGAGAAATACCCATATATAAATATTATGGATAATAAACTAAATTAAAACTGTGTCCCTGTTATTTCTGATACAAATTTTTTAAATGTGACAGCTATTTAACATATGTGCGTTTCTAATTTGCCAGACATGACCATACTTTTCAATTGTCAACTTCAGTGAAGTCATCACTTGATTCACAAGTTAATGTTAACAACCTAAAACCTATCTTACCACTTTTCATTTGCTGCCATTCCATTCATTTTTTTTTAACAGCTCCATTAATGTTTATCTTCTCAATATGACATCTAGGTCTTCATATTCATTCAAATACTTCACGCACTACTTTGCAGTAAGTGTTCTATTTGGATTAGGTCTGTTTCCTCAGTCCCCTAACAAATCACCAAGTACCTAGAACATGCCATGTCTCCTGCTAAGTTCCAGAAATGCAAAGATGAAAATTTGTATTATTATTTTACATTTTTGCCATAGGGCCTCTGTGCTTACTGGAGAGACAAAAAGAGGGAAAGTGAAAGTGAGAAATCAACCCTTGAGGGTATGGCCACACAATCCCTTCTCCATTCTCCTCCTGGGATTTTGGGCATGCATGCACATGTGCCTGGCGTGATTTTGAAGCAGCCAGGTCCAGGACTCAAACAGCAGTCAGCCATGTGAGATCCAGCACCTAAACCACCATAATACTTGCTAGTGCCCAGAGCTGAATTTTTTTAAGAGTCTCTTTCCTCACAATAAAGAGCAAAATCCCCAAAGTAGGGTCATAAGGTCCATGTAATAGTTATGACCCAATAATGTACAGAAATAGTATACCTTTTCTTTTTTAAAGAGAGAGAAATTTACTAAAAATAAATGCTTATTAGAATGACATACATGGATTGGAACTGGTGGCTCCATGTGGTCCAGGTGTCAGGCTTTTTAACCTGCTACACAGGATACCCACAGTACTGAATGGGAAAAGTAGAGTCATATTGTTCCGGAACAAAATCAAGTAGGCAGTTAAACCTTCACTTGGCTATTCCTTCTCAGTACAATCAACATTTTGTGATAATATGATTAAAAGAGTTCAGCTGAATAAACTAATAATGTATTCATTCAGATTTAACCAGCAGTCCAAAATGTAAAGGAGGAATTTTGCACTGATGCCACATCAGACAGGAATATCTAACACATATCAAGCGTGGTATCAATGCTAATCTGCATGTTATATTATTAGTAAGCA